AGAGCAGCATAAAAGTCCTAAGTATCCAAGGGAGCCCTCTGATACTTGTTCTGGACACTACAAAGATGTCCCTTGTCCAAACACAAGTGTCTCCTGGAGTCCCTGGGACCCTCATCTCTGCCAGCTCCTGGCCTCCTAGAACCCAACACCCACTTATTCTCGTCCCCAGGAGCGCCGCCTGCAGACACCCCCTGCTCAGCTCGCGGCTCCCACGACACACTCGTCCGAGCCTTCAGGACGTTCGCGCTTCCTCAGTGGCCCAGCGTCTCACCAAAGCCAGGAAGGGGCAGGCTGTAAGCAGCATTTGCTTTTGGCAGATGCCCTGAGACAGGGAAAGAGCAGGTGAGGCGGCCTTCTTGGAAATGAAGGAGGGAAACAACACACAACAGAATATGTTAAACAGCTCTCGTTCCCATTCTTCCACCGCGGCGAAAGACAAACTCGGTGTCTCCCTGTGTTACCCTGTGATTGAGTGTTGGATGCTAAGGCCCTCTCTGTACGCTCTCCCAGAGCAACCGTTAGCAGGATTTGGGTGTGCGGGCTGCTGTCTTAATGGCTGACTAGCGGTTATCTGATTGCAGACCTTCTATTTTTCATCAACAAACATTGAGTATCTAGCTTGCACCCCCCACCGAAGCGGCAGGACAGACTCGGTGGTAGCCTGGAGGGGAGAGGCACGGAGGCAGACACTTCAGTAGGCTTTGACTGGCCAGCAGCAAGAACCAAAAGTGTTTAGGGAAATGAAAGAAGTAATTTCTGGAGCATGAGACATTAGGGGCGAAGAGGAATGGGAAGGCAATGGCAGGGCCTCTGGAGCTGCGTTTAAGCGTGCACCCTTCACTGCAGGAGCTCTGGGGACCCTGCTCAGAGACTCTTGCAGAAGAGTAGCATGCTCCACTGAGTGTCTTGGAGCACTTTGGCTGCAATATATGGTAGTGAGATCTAGTAAGAGGGCATTTCAGTCAATCAGGATAGTGACTAGGGTGGCCTGTAATAGAGTAGCCACAGGAGAATGGAGGAAACAGGACAAAGAATAGAAGTATCTAGGAGGTAGGATTGTCAGAATTTGGAGACTGGTTGGATAATAGTGGATAGTAAGTGGTTCCAGGCCCCAAGACAGGGAACACTGAAGGAGCAGGTTTGGGGGTCAGAATGGTGAGCTCATGTTGAACATGATAAGTCTGAGGGGTTTCATTTAAGGGTCGCGAGGTAAAAATGTCCAGGGAGCGGGGCTGTTGCACATTGGAGGGGGCGTCAAAGGTTGGTAGAACATGGAGTTGAATTTATTTTGATGCAAAATGTATATGAAGTCCATGCATTATTTTTACATAACATGCATTTCCATGAGCCTTTTGAGAATCTCTCATGTGGATTTGGGGCACAAGACTGGGCTGTGCGTGTGTAATCCGCAACTTCTGTGTGGAAACCAAGGCCATGGGGTCAGCTGGGGTCACCAGAGACAGCATGAAGAGTAAAGAGCGGAGGGACGGGGACAGAGGCCTGGGGGTACCCATGAGCATTCCGGGAACTTGTATTTGGACCCTTTTGCTTTAGGAGCACACAATTAGTAAGAATGAGTTGAAGAACGGCATCATGTTTTCAAAATCTAATGTAAATTGTTCTTAAATTCTTTTTTTTTAATTTTTAAAAATTACTTTAGGTTACTATTTCTTTCTATTTCTTCTGACCAGGGGATGGAAGATATCTCTCTTTCTGTGCCTCTCGCTGTCTCTCTCTCACACACACCTCTACCTTTCAAATAAATAGATCCTTTCAAAGACTAGTTTCTACCCATAGTGGTGTTATGAGGATAAAAACAGCTAATATGTGGGCTGGCTCTGTGGCGTAGCCGGTTAAGCTGCCACCTTTGATGCCAGTATCCCATATGGATACCAATTCGAGTCCTGGCTGCTCTACTTCCAATCCAGCTCCCTGCTAATGGCCTGGGAAAGCAGGGGAAGATGGCCCGAGTCCTTGGGCCCCTGCACCCACATGGGAGACCTAGAAGAAGCTCCTGGTTCCTGGCTTAGGTCTGGCCTAGCCCTGGAACTAGCAGGTGGACAATTTCTCTCTCTGTCTCTCCCTCTCTCTGTAACTCTGCCTTTCAAGTAAGTAAAATAAATCTTTAAAAAAAAAAAAAAAAAAAGAGTTAATACACCAAAGTGTCTGGAGCAGTCCCTGACCCATGGTATTTACTCCATAGAGATAAGCTGGTGTTATCTTCATCCTTGGTACTGTTAGCATAGACAACATAGGGTTGACTGTGTTCATGTGAAGTCCATGACAGCTCTAATCTTGTGTGGTCTTCACTTTTCTGAGTGTAGGTGGTGACGGTAGCACCTTCCTTGTAGTGAGATAACAGAGATAACATCCAGGGCCCTAGCCTGCAGGAGGCTCCTTAGTGGGTTAATTTCCTGCCATTCCTCCTTCCAGTAGTTGTTCGTTCCTAACCAGGCCGGAGTGGTGACTCTGAGACCAGGTTTTCGCCTTCCGCCGCGTCAGAGGAATTCTACAGGATAGCATCGCTCTGTGGATGCTGGTTCCCGGGAGGGCCCGGGGGCAGGGTGGTGGTCATCTGTTCTCAAGTCCCTCTGTAGAGACTGCTGTGTCATGACAGCCTTTCCTTCCTTTAACTAAAACATCCACATCCGAGTGGAACAACCTAGGAGTAAAGGTTTACTTCAGCCTACAGTGTGCAGGTTCCCAGTCCAACACTGGCGGCCCTGTTGGTTGAGGCACCTGGGGAGGCAGGAGGATGGTGAGGGACAACCTCCTGGGCAGCAGGAAGCAGGGAGAGACGGGAAGCACCGTCCCTCTCTGCAGAGGGTTCCACCCCAACCTTTTCCAGTCACTCCCCAAAGGCCCTACCTTCAGACACTGTAATTGGATGAAGCCTCTGCTCTTAGACCATCAATCACTAATCCGTTAACCATTACCACAAGACTTTGGGGTTAAAGTCCGTATGAATTTGGGGAGCCAGATCCTATTCAATCCGTAACACTGCTCTGCGCCCAAGTGACTTTCCCCCTCTCCCAGTGACCTCTGGTCAGTGAGAGGTGTCCTGGAGTCATCATGGGGAAAGCTTGACCTTGGGGTACTCGTGGGCAGGTCAAAAAGCAAAGCATGGGTTTCTGTCTGAAATTTGTATTTCTTGAAGGCCAGTCTCACATCTTTGTTCTGTTGGAGGAGCTGACCAGTCACGAGGGAATCCGTTTCAGATGCAAATCTGGTGGGCCTGGCTCCCAGGCCTCACCCTTGCTGGCCTTCCCCTTTCATGCTCACAGTCTGACTTAACCCCCTGCCTCCATGCCGCGACACAGGTGGCTTCCTCAGCCGGGCCCCTGCCTTCCCACCCTGACCCCTTTTGTTGGTGCCCTGAGTGAACACCTCTGAGGAAGTGGTCAAGTCACTTCTTGTGAAAAGCTCTCTCCTTCCCCTCTGGGATTATTAGTGCCCCCCCCCCCCCCCCCCCCCGTGTGTCCTCTCACAGACCCTTGCCCAGGCTGCGTCACAGCATCACAGTACCCTGCGATTGCATGTTTGTCTTCCCAGCTGCCTGTCTGCCTCGGCACTGACGGCCCAGGACATGTACAGTGTTGTACACTGCCTGGCCCCAAGGGGGCCTGCGGTGTTGGCAGAATTAAAAATCGAACAGATGCCTGTGGGGTAGGTGGACAGTGCAAACAGCTCCAGCCTCATGACCCAGCCTTTTTTCTAGGGCCTGAGGGGCATCACGTTTCTCCCATCCTGAAAACCACGAGTAGTAATCCTTACCTTCAGAGACAGGGAGTGGAACTGCTTCTCAGCTCAGCATCTCTGACCCAGAGATTCTTATCCACAAGGATACAATGTAAAGCAAGGTGGGACATATCTACAGAGAACCTGCTGGGCTCCAGGGGCTGCAGTGAGGCAGAGAGAATAGCCCGAGAGTGTCTCTGGAAAGTGTGCTTTTAAATCCGTCATCAACATTATCATCTTCTTAAACATCTTCATGAGTTCAAGGTCCTCTCTGGTTCCTCGGTTGGTTCTTTCTGGAATCTTTCAGACTGCAGTAGCCGTGGAGAGGGAAGGGTGGGCAGCTTCCTAGCAGGAACCCCCTTGCCAGGATACACTGGGTTTCAACCATATGGGATCCCTGGCCTATGGGATGAACCAAGACCAAATAATTCATACTTTGTTCTCATAGTGCTTGATTCTTTCAAAAGAAGTTTTATTTATTATTTGAAAGGCAGAGAGAGAGAGAGAGAGAGAGAGATCTTCTGTCTGCCCAGAATAGCCAGGGCTGAGCCAGGCTGAAGCCCAGAACCCAGAATTCCATCCTGCTCTCCCATATGGATGACAGAAACCCAAGTTCTTGGGCCATCGTCACCTGCTGCCTCTCAGGCATAATAGCAAGAAGCACATTGGGAAGCAGGGAGCCAGGATCTGAACTGGCACTCCCCTATGGCACGGCATGGGGCAGATGCGAGGGAGCATAGTGAAAGAAGAGAGGCGGTGCGGAGTGAAAAGACCCAAGCCCTGCGAGAGATGGGAATGCACAGGGCAGCAGCTGCTGGAGTTTGCTGAGGAAGCAGAAGTCCCTGCAGCAGCCAGTGTTGCCCTTGGGGACCAAGGACCGAAGCAGGCTTCTGAAGGGACTGGTAGAGGAACATGTGGATGTTCTCTTGGCCTGCAGGTTTTGGAGTAGGTAGAAGGCTGTGGAGGGGAGACAGGCTGACAGGCTGCGCCTGGAGAGGCACCCTGTGTTGTTGGAGCTGCTTTGCAGCAGGCTCTTCATTCAGGGCCCCTCTGGGACACCTTCTTGCTTCCTTGGCCCCAGTCCCCCTGCAAGGACAGCTGGTGGTAGCTTCCCATCAGCCATCCTGTTATAAGGCTCCCCTCATAGTACCCAGAAACGTGCCTGGTGCCTGCCTGCAACCGTGTGGAATTGTGTGGTTCCTACCACTCACTGCTGCTCCCTAGAGTCTCCCTAACCCAAGTCTGTCTGTCTCTCCCTGCAGTCCCACCCCCTGTACCTGTGCAATGCCAGTGATGACGACAATCTGGAGCCTGGATTCATCAGCATCGTCAAGCTGGAGAGCCCCCGCCGGGCCCCCCGCCCCTGCCTGTCACTGGCCAGCAAGGTAGATCCACACTTGACCTTCACACGCCCTGAATTTCACCCAGCTCCCAGTTGTGAGGGGCTCTGTCCTCCTTGTCTCCTAAGAGTGAGGTGCCTGACTCCCTCAGGGTCACCCGACCCACGCCGGGTCTGAGGGGTGCTTTCGCCATCAACCAGCACTAGCACAACTTTCTGACTTTCATCCTGGCAGGTGCCTCACCCCCACCTTCCCCCATCACCTGAGTTCCTAAGCCCCTGGCCCTGCCCAGCACCAGACCAAAGTGGGGCAGCGGATGACTTCTTCCATCTTCCAGAAGCATTTCCTGAGCTCTGTGTGAGAACAGCAGAGACGGAGCCACTGCCCTGTGCGCTGAGTGTGTGTGCGGAGGGTGGTTAGATGGCATGGGCACTAGCAGGTGTCCTTAGCGGAGAGGATCCTGCTTCCAGGGAGAGTGAGAGAAGGGAGTGGACCCCCAGCCTTGGTCCAAATCCCTGTGGGTTTCCTGATCATCAGGGAAGCCTCAAGGAAGCAGCCTGGGTTCTTTTTCTTTTTAATTTTGTCTTTTTTTAAAGATTTTATTTATTTATTTGAGAGGCAGAGTTACAGACAGAGGTAGACTCCCCAGATAGTCACAACGGCCAGAGCCGCACTCATCTGAAGCCAGGAGCCAGGTATTTCTTCCCAGTCTCCCACGCGGGTGCAGGGGCCCAAGCACCTGAGCCATCCTCCACTGCCCTCCCGGGCCACAGCAGAGAGCTGGATTAGAAGAGGAGCAGCCGGACTTGAACCGATGCCCATATGGGATGCCGGCGCCGCAGGCAGAGGATTAACCTACTGTGCCCTGGCACCGGCCCCAGCCTGGGTTCTTCCCTCTTTGAGTGTCAGAGATGTGGGCCGGTTCTGAACTGGTGGGTGTGGCATCTCCACAATGCTGGGAGGGTCCCAGTGGCAGAGAATTTTGTGAGGGCGAAGCTGTCCTGCTTCTGGTGATGGTCGCTTGCCCCGATTTGTGCAGTTTGGATCAGTGTTGTTCATTCAGTACTTTGCTACACAGCTGCTCAGCATCTGCTTTGCGTTAGGCAGCGTGAGGGGGACGTGTTAGAGAGAGATGGGGAAGGAGGGTTCAGAGAAGCTCACTGCTCTGTTGCTTTTTCTTCTCCTTACCTATTCAGAGGTAATATGTGCTTGTTTACTCTGGACACTACAGAAAGGTGTAAGTAGGCTTTTAGAACCGCCCAGAGGTTCTGCTGCCGTGTCAGAGCAGCGCCTGCTTTCACACACGCACGGGTCCTGGCATCCCCTGCAGGCCTGAGACATGCTCACAGACACTGTGAAGCAAGAAGCGTGCTCAGTGCCCTTCTGTCGGGCCTTTGTTCTGTCGTCATAAAATGGGACTTTTATGCCCTATCCCATGATTATTATGAAGATGACAATAATGTATGTCAAGCGCCTAGTAATGCCTGAGCTAAAACAAACACCATAACAAAAACACGGATGGGGTTTAGAACAGTACCTTGGCTGCTGCCCTGTAACCATGGCCCTCGCTTCTTCCTCTGCATTCCCTCCTTGCCTGACTCCTCCCATCATCACTCTCTGGAAATTGCTCTCTAGTGGCTTCTTCTTTTTTATTTATTTATTTTTTTAAGATTTTATTCATTTATTTGAAAGGCAGAGTTACAGAGAGAGGGAGAAACAGAGAGAGGTCTTCTATCCACTGGTTCACTTCCCAAATGGCCACAGCCACTGTAGCTGAGCTGAACAGAAGCCAGGAGCCAGGAGCTTCTTCCAGGTCTTCCATGTAGGTATAGGGGCCCAAACACTTGGCCATCTTGTACTGCTTTCCCAGACTATAGCAGAGAGCTAGATCAGAAGAGGAGCAACCAGGACTCGAATCAGCACCGTATAGGATGCTGGCACTGCAGGCAGACTTAGCCCACTAACCACAGTGCTGGCCCCACTAGTGGTTTCTTTTAAAAATATTACTTATTTTATTTTCATTTTATTTGAAAGGCAGAGAGACAGAGACAGGTACAATCTGGGGAGAGAGTGTCCACCTGCTGGTTTACTCCCCAAATGCCCACAATAGCCCAGGACTGGCCCAGGCTGAAGACAGGAGCCTGAAACTCCATCCAGGTCTCCCACGCAGGTGTCAGGGACCCAGGTCCTTGAGCCATCAACTGCTGCCTCCCAGGGTCCCCCTTAGTAGGAAGCTGGATTGAAAACAGAGGAGCTGGAATTCCAACCAGGCACTCTGATATGGGATGTGGGCATCTCAAGCATTGTCTTAAGCGCTATGCCAGTGCCCACTTTGATGTGGGGTGTGGGCATCTGAAGTAGCAGCTCAGCCCGCTAGTGCCACACTCCTGCCCCCGTGTATGTGTTTAATATGGCTCATGGGCAGGGTCAGAGACAGGTGAGGTCTTTGCGGAGGAAGGATTTGGAAACCACCATCCTCAATCAGCTCTGCTCTGGCTCTTCCTCTTGGTCCCAGTGGTACCATCACCACTGACCAAACTGGGGCTTTCAGACCAGACAGCCCTGTATTTAAAGGACAGCTCCTGCTGTCTCTATGTGACCTGGGTGCGTTAGTTCCCCTCTCTGGGCCTCTGTCTCCTCGTCTGTCAAAGGGGACAAGTAATAGGACTTTTAAGTAGTTATGAGGGTTTAATGAGACAGTACAGACGGAAGCCAGTAGCTCTCTGCCAAGCATTTAGGAATCACTCAATAAATCGTTGCAGTTATCGTTACTGTCATCATCATTGGCACCAACCCATGCGTTTAGATTAAACAAGGTTGGGATTTTTTGTGTGTTTGTTTTTTCTTCCCTTTCTTTTGTTATATCTTGTTCTTCTCTCAAACCCAGTAATTCTGGACTCTTCCATTCTTGTCACCACGCCCACCACCCTCGATCCAGTCACCCAGATCAGTTTCTGTTTCTTTATTAGCAGCTCCAAGCCATCCTTGTGATTTGCCAGGCCTTTATCGCCTCATGCCTGGCCTAGCCCAGTGGCCTTTTGCCTGGCAGGCGCGAGATCTGGTGGGGGCAAGCCCTGCTTGGTCGTTCAGCAGAGGCGTTCTGGAGACTCAGGTCCTGGGTGGGAATCCTGCCTCTGCTGCCTTTAGCTGGTGGCCCTGGACAAGTTGTTCAGCCTCTCCGAGCTTCAGTTTCCTCAACTCAGAAGTGGAGCTGGGTGAGTGCCTTGTAGGATCATGAAGAGTAGATGAAGCCATGTGTGCAAAGCACTTAGTTGATGTAATAATAACTGATACTTAAAGAACATTTCTATGTGCTAGGTACTACTGTAAGTGCTGTACACAGATTCATTTATGTACTCCTCCCCACGACTCTATGAAGTTGAACTCTGATGAAGGCTGCCAGAATCTTGCTTTTCATTCCTAGAACTCTGGTCACAGAGTCAGATTGTTATCCCAGCATACAGAAAGGGAAACTGAGGCACAGAGGAGTTAACTGATTTGTCCAAAGTCTCAAAGCTGGTAAGTTGGTACCAGAGCCAGGATTCAAACCCAGGCAGTCTGGGCAGAGTGGCTTTCCTTCCTCCTCTCTCTTAAAAATTTTCACCTGTTCCACTTGAAAGGAAGAGGGGGAGAGAGACAGGGCCATCTTCTATCTACTGGTTCAACTCCTCATGTGTTTGCAAGGCTGGGTCAGGCCAAAGCCAGGAGCCAGGAACTCAGTCTGGGTCTCCCAGGTGGGTGGCAGGGACCCAGTGACTTGAGCCATCACCTGCTACCTCTCAGGGTGCACATCAGCAGGGAGCTGGGATGGGTAACAGAGCTGGGACTCAAACCGGGCACTCCTGTAGGGGATGCAGTGGTCCCAAGTGGCACCTACCTGCTATGTCAAACGCTAGCCCCTTTCTCCTTTCTTTCCGATCCTTGCCACCTTGTACCTTCCCCTGCCTTGCTCTCCGGCCCAGGTAGATCCGTCTTCTTGTACTGAATCTTTCCTGGCAGGCCCAGCCCAGCCAGCCCGGGGAAGAGCAGGAATCCCTCCCTCCTGGCACACCTCCAGCAGCTGGGGTCTCTGCGCAGGCTTTCAGCACCAGGCTCTGCCAAGGCTAGATTTCACGGAGGTGACTCGGAGGATGCGGCGACTGAGGGGCCTTCCTACCCCTACCCTCCTCCCGCCTCACTTGTATCGGCTTTGTGTGTTGAAGATTGATGTCAGGTTTTGTGGGAGGCTAATAGTGGCGGGAAGGACATTTTGAAGTGACAAAGGTTTGAAAACTACTAGACTGTTCTGTTCATTGTGTTGTATAATACTGTTGTCAGCGTTATAATTTTATGTACATGTGTGCCTTATCTCCACGCCTAGTTTATGAGCTGTTCTGGAGAGTCTGGCCTTCCCTGGCTTGGGGCCCTGTGCACAGTAGGTGCATAGTCAATTTTAATGAGCAGGAGACAGACAGAGACTTGTGTGGCATGGAGAGGGAACTCTAAGGCCCAGAGAGGTGCAGCAGCTGACCAGTGAGCCCAGCGAGTAAGGGACAGGATACCAGCTGGCTCTCCCTGCTCTGGCTCCCACTGCACTCCCTCTCTGGCTGCTGTTGCTCACAGCCACTGGCAGCCTTGTCCACTGGCCCCAGGGCTGACCCACTCTGAAGCTTCCAAGAGGTCTCTGCGTTGTCTTTCCAAAGCTGAGGCTTCCTGTCTTGAGGGAATGCACGCACACACGCACACACACAAACACACACACACACACACACACACCTGCTGACCAGCCTCTAGTTCCCCCAGAAGCCCTTTCTTCTTCCTGCTGCCCCTTTTCTTGGGTGCAGGTGAACAGGAAGCACGGATGGCCCCTCATCAGGCTGCCATCTGGCCCCTAATCTTTTCTTTCCTAGAACTCTGGACACAGGAACCCACTGCCTGCAAGTCCTGTTTGTTTTCCCCTGTTGGCCAACTCTCTGGGCTCTTTGATCACTTTTACAGCTTTGTAATTATGGGCTGTGATGGGCTGGGGTGTTTGAATGGCACGGTAATTGCATTCTACTGTTCCTACCCCAATTCTTCAAAGAGAAGAGGGTGGGGAAGTAAGAAAGTCTCCGAAGCAGTAAGCCTTTCCCTTCGCCATGCTCTTCCAGGCCCGGCTGGCCCAGGGTCTCGTTCTGGGGTGGGAACCCTGAGGACTTGGGAGTCCCAGTTCCATGGCAACTGGGTCACCTCTCCTAGCCCTGGACCAAGTCCCTGGAGCAGGAGACAGCTAGTACAATCCCCTCCCAGGAACTGCTTGTCTGCTGGCGCTGCTCCTGAGCCCTTGCTTGGAGGACGCAGAAGGTGGGAGGGGCCTGCAGGCAGTCACCAAAGGCGGGGTGGGCTTCCTGGGAGCCAGTGGGTGGGAAGATGGAAGCTGTGACCTCTTGATATCTTCAGCAGTTCCATTCTGAGGCCCATGAATTTCCAGTCAGCCTGGCGAGCCTGGACCCAGGCTGGGCTTGGGTGCCAGTAGAGGGTCTGGCCCATCTCCCAAGGAAAGGGGGTGAAGGAACAGGGAAGCTACCATCCGATCAAAATGGGGCCCCACTTGAGTGTCTCCACCACCCAGCCATGGCTCTCCTGCCTGCAGGCAGTGGGTTCAGAGGGGGCCCCTGGCCCCTGCCGCTGCCTGAGGAGTGGGGAGCAGGGAGTGGGAGCCAGGAGCTGCTCCCAGCCTGCCTGGCAGGAGACCTGCCTTAACAGGCTCTCCCTGGGAGGGCAAGCCGAGATCAAAGCCTGAGAGTCTGAGTAAGTCCCAGCACTGGCTCCTCTTCCTGCCACCACTACTTGCAGAAGGATTAACCCCTTCCCTGCAGGGGCCCCAGCAGTATGAGAGTGGTAGCCTGATGCCATTATAAGATGAACCTCTGCTCCAGGGGGGGAGCAGGAGCATGGCAGTGGTGGGCTAGGAGACCCAGCACCAAGGCCTGGACAAGCTGCTGACTCCCCCTCGTGCCTCCACCCAACCCTTGGCTGCTGTGCTCACCCTCCTGCCTTCCCCTGGTTTGCTCTCTGCTCTGCTTGGTTGGTGAATTCTGCTTTGTGAGCCTACTCCTGGGGCCCGCGCGGGGATCATGCACACGGCTGCAAGGTGGTCTCCTTGTGGGAACAGCCCCACCCTGCTCGAGCCTCTAATGGCACCCAACGGGAGAGGATGGAGGGCGGAGTCCTGGACAGGAGCCCCTCTGACTCCTTGAATGGAGCTAGAAAAAGGTTGGCAGGGAAAGAGGGAGATGGGCTGTGACAGGACTTTATCACAGAGGCCTGAGGGGAGAGTCGAGTCCCAGGATCTTGGCACTTTGCCTGAGCTGGGGGCTACCCTGCAGGCCCCTGTTGTCCGGCTGGGCTACACCCTCTCTGCACCCCTCCCAAGGGTGCTGGTCGCTCCCTACCTTTGTCCTCACCCCGCCTGGTGAAGGCAGACTGAGCGGGAGGGCAGGGGCTGTCTTGTTTGTCCTAGGCCCTAGAGCCAGGCCCACCACCAGGCACCCAGTAGGTCCTGGAGAAGAGTTTGCTCCATTACAGAAGGGCAGACTGAAAGCTGTCCCGTGAAGGCAGTGGTTCCCGGGTGGGCTCACGGGGCAGGGTAGGGCAGTCCCATGGGTCCCTTGCCTATATAAACGTGACTGGGCAGTGTGTGCAGAAAACTGAGAGGGGGCGAGGCTGGGCCATAGATGGCCTGCGTCCTTCTGTGACCCCGGCCAAATCCCTGCCCCGTGTCCCCACAGGCCCGGATGGCAGGTGAGCGAGGAGCCAGTGCTGTCCTCTTTGACATCACCGAGGACCGAGCTGCTGCTGAGCAGGTACCCAGGGACAGTGGGGAGTTGGAGGCAGGGGCTGGATGGAGGAGGATGAAGCTGCTGGGGGGAGGGGAAGTCACAGCAGCCCGTGTGGGCTCCTTGCCCCTGCAGCTGCAGCAGCCGCTGGGGCTGACTTGGCCGGTGGTGTTGATCTGGGGTCACGATGCCGAGAAGCTGATGGAGTTTGTGTACAAGAACCAGAAGGCCCACGTGAGGATTGAGCTGAAGGAGCCCCCGGCCTGGGTAAGCAGAGAAGACCCCCAGACCCCACTCAGCTCTTGCTCTCACCCCCACTTGGTCCTGGGACTACTCTGCCAAAAGTCCTTAAACTCCTGAGCTGAAAGAGACACTAGAAAGCGAAAGCCATGTAGTCCAATGGCACCCATCACCCCTGCGTGAGTGTCTGCCCCTCTCTGGACCTCATTTGCAGAATGAACAGATTGGACCAGATGCATTCTGAAGTCCTTTTCAGCTTTGTGGTTTCATGGCTCGGAGTAGCAGAGTCAGAATGGCCCCTGGCCAGTTTGATCCCTGGTGGGCAGGAAGCCTCCCCCTCTCTGCTCTCCTCCTGAGGGTGCTGGTTGCTCCCTACTCTGTCCTCACCCCACCTGGTGAAGGCAGACTGAGCAGGTGGGCTGGGGCTGTGTCTTGTTTTGTCCTACGCCTAGAGCCAGGCCCATCCCCAGGCACCCAGTAAGCCCTGGGTAAGAGTTTGTTGCATTACAAAAGGGCAGCAGCTCCTCGCTGGTGGACAGATCCCTTTCCCGGCTTGCCTTCACCTGGGTTTTCAGGTCGTGGTTCCCATAGTGGACACCTGGATGACCCTCTCCCACGAGGACCATGGGCAGAGGGGGACCGCATCTCGGGTGGCAGACATGGGAACTCCAGGCTCCTTATGGATCTCCAGGGCTCCTTCCAGAACCATGACCCTTTCCCTCTCTGCTCACTTCCCCAGCCAGACTACGATGTGTGGATCCTCCTGACGGTGGTGGGCACCATCTTTGTGGTCATCCTGGCCTCAGTGCTGCGGATCCGGTGCCGCCCCCGCCACAGCAGGCCGGTGAGCAGTGCGGGCTCCCTGGAGAGGCTGGTGTGCGGACTGGTGTGGGAGGGTGGGGAGTGGGCAGGAGAATGTGTGGAAGGCAGATGCCCTTATGCCCATGAGATGGGTCACGTGTACACACCCCAGCATCTGTCTTTGTTGAGCTCCAGCAGCCTCCCTCCATTTGTTCTTTTGTTCATGCATTCATTCATTCATCAAACCAAGCTCCTGTTAGGTGTCAGGCACTGCTGAGGATAGTGCATGAACAAAATGACAAAGAACCAGATAACAAATCAAATACTAAGTAAAAATATGTGACAGTCTAGGTGGGGGTTTATGCTGTGGAGAAAAATAAAATAGCAAAGCGGAGAGAGAATGCAGTGGGCCCAGGGCTAGTTTTTGAAAGCAAGTCCAGGGAAGGCCACGCTGAGATGATGTGATAAAGGCTGTAAGCAGGCGAGGGCGTGATCTGTGCAGGGATCCGGAGGAAAGTGACCGAAAAAGAGAGAAGAGCCAGTGCCAAGGCCTTGAGGCAGAAGTGAGCCTGGCGGGTCGGAGCAACAGTACGAAGGCTGTGTGGTGGAAACATAGCAGGCGAGACGGTACTGCAGCAGGCGAAGTCAGGGAGTGCATGGAGCCCGGCTGTATTGGGTTGTTCAGGCCATTGTCAGAACTTTGGTCTTCCTCTGGGTGAAGTGGGAACCATCGGAGGGCTTTAAGCAGAAGAGGGGCCATGATCTGACTTGAGTTTTAACATGATCCCTCCTGCCGCCATGTGGAGGAGAGACCACAGGGAGGCAAGACTAGAAATGGAATCCACATGGCAGCAGTGGGGGCTAGGATTAGGGAGACAGAGGGAAGAGGATGAGGAATAGTTCGATTCTGGGTATATTTGGAAGGTGAAGCCTAGGCTTACTAATGGCGCGATTACTAACGGGGAATCAGAGAGAGAGGAATCAAGGTTTCTGGCCTGAGCAACTAGAATGCAATTGCCGGCCAGTGCCGCGGCTCACTAGGCTAATCCTCCACCTGCGGTGCCGGCACACCGAGTTCTAGTCCCGGTCGGGGTGCCAGATTCTGTCCCGGTTGCTCCTCTTCCAGGCCAGCTCTCTGCTGTGGCCCAGGAGGGCAGTGGAGGATGGCTCAAGTGCTTGGGCCCTAAACCCGCTTGGGAGACCAGGAGAAGCACCTGGCACCTGCCTTCGGATCAGTGCGATGTGCTGGCCGCAGCTGCCATTGGAGGGTGAACCAACGGCAAAGGAAGACCTTTCTCTCTGTCTCTGTCTCTCACTGTCCACTCTGCCTGTCAAAAAAAAAAAAAGAATGCAATTGCCATTTCCTGAGATGGAGAAGGCTGGGGGGTGGGCACAGGTAGGTGGTTGGGGTGGTCAGTGGGATTAGGAGTTGAAGTTGGGCCGGGTAAGGTTGGAAGTGCCTGCAGAGGTGTCAGGCAGCAGGTTTCTCTCCTTGGTCATCTGGGAGGAAATGGTCAGTGACAGGAGCAAGGGCTGGCCAGAGCCACGCTTGAGCTTTGAAAGGACAGCTTCCTGGGTTGACTGGCCACGTGATCTAGTTGGACGACTGGGACCTGAGACCAAGCTGGGACCCGTGGTGGGGGAAGATAACCCCTTGCCCCATTCCAAGCCCTACTCCTCTTCCCCAGGATCCCCTTCAACAGCGAACAGCCTGGGCCATCAGCCAGCTGGCCACCAGGAGGTACCGGGCCAGCTGCAAGAGGGCCCGGGCCGAGTGGCCAGACGCCAGTAGCAGCTGCAGCTCAGCCCCGGTGTGTGCCATCTGCCTGGAGGAGTTCTCTGAGGGACAGGTATGGCAGGCATGTGGTTCACGGTGCAGAGCAGGCTGAGAAGGGAGACGACCCACTGCCATGGGGGTGGACAGGCCTGGGGCTGGCAGAGGCGCCCTGGCTGTTATCTGTGTCCAGTGTGTCCTGTGTGGAGCAGAGGTAGGGGATTGCCCTGAGGTTTGGTTACTTTCTCTGGCTTTCTTGAGAGACAGCCCTGCTGTTTGTTGGGAGGGGACCAGTGCCAGAACGTGTTTAGATGCATTATCTCCTGTTAGCCCCAGGGCTCTGAAGGGTGGGGGTAGATTCCAGTTTTTATCCTCACCTTACAGCAGAAAACTGTTAAGCAACATGCCCAGGGTCATAACATCACTAAAGCTCACACGGTTCTATCCTGTGGTGAGGTCTTTTGCAAGGGGATGATAGCACGAAGGAGAGCCAGAGGGAGTGGAGTGGGGGAGGGGGAGGGTGGAGTCCTGGTTTCCGGCCACTCCTGTGGCTACTGAAACATTTGGTTTGGACCCCCGTGTTTTCTCCAGGAGCTACGAGTCATTTCCTGCCTCCATGAATTCCACCGTACGTGCGTGGACCCCTGGCTGCATCAGCACCGGACTTGCCCCCTCTGCATGTTCAACATCGTAGGTAGGAGGTGGACCAGGTACTCCCCCACGTGCCTGCGGATGGGTCTAGAATGTGGCTTCCCCCTGGGAGAGGGTTCCTGTCCCGAAGCTGGGAGAAAGCAGATGGCCACAGTCGCTCCCGCTGGGCGCTGCTCAAGGAGGCCTGGTCTGAGGGGAAGGGGCAGTCGCACTGTAGCCATCTTCATAATTTTAAAAGTTATTTGTATTTTATGACTTTGTTGATTCTAAACCTGGGGGATTTGTATATTTATTATTTGAATTTTCTGGTAATAAAATATCCTATTCTAACAAAAATCAGTATATTCTGACGATTTTCTAAAAGATGAAAGTGGAATGAGTATCTCGAGGAAAGAAAACCTTTCTCTAGTTCACCCAAAGAGGCAAAGTGGGCAGAGAGCCGGCCTGGGGGGAGCGAGAAGTCACAGGGCACAGGCAGGTGCGGGATGGCTCGTGGCAGAGTCTAATAGCTTGATGACAGCCACGCCTTCCTGAATGTGTTCTCCATAGGGTTTTGGAGTCAAACACCTGTGCTCTTGGTTCTTTTTTCCAGAGGGAGATTCATTTTCCCAGTCCCTGGGACCCTCTCGATCTTACCAGGAACCGGGCCGGAGACTCCACCTCATTCGCCAGCATCCCGGCCATGCCCACTACCACCTCCCTGCTGCCTACCTGTTGGGCCCTTCCCGGAGTGCAGGGGCTCGGCCCCCACGACCTCGTCCCTGTCTTCCATCGCAGGAGCCAGGCACGGGCCCTCGGCACCAACATCCCCGGGCTCCAGGCGAACAGCAGTGCCCGACAGGGGCCCAGCACCCCTACACACAGGGCTGGGGGCCGAGCCGCCTCCGATGTAGCTCACAGCACCCCACTGCTGGCCCAGGGCCCCTGCGCCGGGCCAGGCCTCATGACAGCAGTGGGTCTGGAGAAAGCAACTGCACCGAATGTAGTGGCTACCTGGCAGATGGGCCGGCCAGTGACTCCAGCTCGGGGCCCTGTCACGGCTCATCCAGTGACTCAGTGGTCAACTGCACGGACGTCAGCCTGCAGGGCATCCACGGGAGCAGCTCCACCTTCCGCAGCTCCCTGAGCAGTGACTTTGACCCCCTGGTGTACTGCAGCCCTGAAGCGCATCCCCATGGGGAGGAGGTGCAGCCCGGCGTGACCTCCCGGCCCCGTTCCTTGGACTCGGTGGTGCCCACAGGGGAGACCCAGGTCTCCAGCCACGTCCACTACCACCGCCACCGGCACCACCACTACAAAAAGCGGTTCCAGTGGCATGGCAGGAAGCTTGGGCCAGAAACTGGGGCACCCCAGTCCAGGCCTGCAGTCCCTCGGACACAGCCCCAGCCAGAGCCGCCGTCTCCCGATCCGCAAGTCACCAGGTCCAACCCAGCAGCCCCTTCAGGACAGCTCCCCAACTCACAGCGGTCCAAGGCCCTCCTGGAGCCAGCCCCCGGCCCTGTAGAAGCCTCCAGCCACAGCCCCAGCCTCAGCAGTCTTTATGACTTGCAGAAATCCAGCCTCCCTGGCCGGCACCCACAGCGGAGACGGCGGGGCTGCCCCTCGGAGCCTCCACCAGCCTCTCGGGCCCAGGACTTGACTGTGCACCCAGCTTGCCAGATGTTCCCCCCTTTCAACCCCAGCCTGGCATACCCTTGGCCCCCAGAGGCCCACCCACTGATCTTCAGACCTCCAGCCCTGGACCGGAGGCTGCTACCGGAAGCCCCAGGCCCCTGTTACTCAAGTTCACAGCCAGTGTGGTTGTGTCTGACTCCACGCCGGCTCCTAGGACCGCACCCACCTGGGGAGGGGCCTTCTGAGTGGAGTTCTGACACCCCAGGGGGCAGGCCATGCCCTTACCCACACTGCCAGGTGCTGCCAGCCCAGCCTGGTGAGTTTCCAGGGGAAGTGGGTGTGGTGGGGAGACGAGAGGAGAGCTGGATGTCGCGAGATGGGAAGCCAGCCAGCAAGGGGTTGATGGAAGCTAAGAACAGCTGGCACAGCAGAGGCCATGGGCTGGAGTCCTGGGGCCTTGCTCTTTCAGTTGCCAGCCCACAGGGAGGCCCCGAGGGAGGCACTGGCATGGCTGAAGCATCAGCAAGGGGTGCTTAGAGGTTTGGGGCAGTAGCTCGAACATCAGTGTTTTGGAGCGCTGCCAGTGGTCATAGCTCAATATTAGCTCCAAATACAAAGAAGGCCAAGAAGTGTTCCCTGGGGAGAGCATGATCTGACAGGAGAAATAATTACAGGTAACCATAATACCAGGCCAAGTGAGATGATCTATGTGCGCGATGAACAAGAATAGAAATCAGAGGCCGTTCCCCGCAGTCCCATGGGCCCCTAGATCTTCTCCTCTCACCCTGTGGGGAAAGAACAACTGGAGCTTCCCTTCCCAGCACCCTCACAGACAAGGCCAACCACCCCTCTGTGGGGACTCAGCACATCCCTGCTACTGGTGACAATGTCAATTCTCAGCTTTAACTTGGTAGCTGTTGGCCCCAGACAAGGGCACTTCAAAAAGTTTGTGGAAAAGCAGAATTAAGAGATGTTTATTTGGGTGGCAAAACACTTGAAATCCACGTGTAGCTTTTTCACACCATGCATTTAGCAGGAACGTTTTGAAGACCCCACATCCTCCCCTGCTTCCAAAGCCCCCCTCCCCACTCTCCCCCTTCTCCTCCCACAAGGGGGTGGCCCACAGCTCTTTGAATGCAGCCATTGCTAGGCAACCCCCTTCCACCTAGGGAGGGTACCCAGAGAGCCTGAAGCATAGGCCTTCATGTCTAGGAATCCTACAGGCAGGACCTGAGAACCGCTGTCAATCATTCACTCAGTCATTCATTTCCTCTGTCCACCCTGTGTGCTTACCCTGTGCTAGATCCCACACCACAGCCAGACTCTGAGGACAGGGAACCTGCCCGCCAGGAAACCCCCAAGTCCGTGGGGAGACAGGCATGCCAACAGTCGCATTTAGCAGACAACTGCCCCACAGAGCGTGTGATGCAAGCTTGGGCTGTGTGTGTAGACCCTGTTGTGTGTGTGCTTTCAGTGTCGCCAGCACCAGATCTCCGTGACCTCCTTTGATTTTTCAAACTGAGACTAGTTTCAGTGGGTCCCTTTGATCAGTCCTCACACCTACTCAGTGCCAGGTGCTGTTCCTGTGTCTCTGCTGGCTCTGTCATTTTCTCCTTAAGTCCGGTACTGATGGCCGCTGCCGGTGTCCTAGCCACAGCCTGAAGATTCCTGCAGGAGACTCCTGGCTCCCCGGGCGCTATGTCAAGCTGCGACCTGCTCATTGAGGGTTGTGTCCCCAGCCCCACCCACGTGCCCCCCTGGTGCTTCCAGGGCCATCTGCCTTATGACAAGCTGTCCATAAATCTCCAGACGTTCTGTGTCATCCACAACAAGCAAAAATCCAACCTGGGGTGGCCTTCAAGGCTCCGGCAGCAGCCAGCCTCCAGCCTCCTTCCCCACCTCATTTTCTTTTTCTTTTTTTTCTTTTTTTCTTTTTTTTTTTTTTTTTTTTTTGACAGGCAGAGCGGACAGTGAGAGAGAGAGACAGAGAGAAAGGTCTTTTTGCCGTTGGTTCACCCTCCAATGGCTGCCGCTGCCGGCGCGCTGCAGCCAGCGCACCGCGCTGATCTGAAGGCAGGAGCCAGGTGCTTCTCCTGGTCTCCCATGGGGTGCAGGGCCCAAGGACTTGGGCCATCCTCCACTGCACTCCCGGGCCACAGCAGAGAGCTGGCCTGGAAGAGGGGCAACCGGGACAGAATCTGGCACCCCGACCAGGACTAGAACCCAGTGTGCCGGCGCCGCTAGGTGGAGGATTAGCCTAGTGAGCCGCAGCGCCAGCTCCACCTCATTTTCTACTCTTTCCTTTCCCTTGCCCCACCTCATGCCGTAGCCAGACCGGGTAAACAATTCCTGTAGCTGGAACATCTGCAGCTTTCCCTGATCCCGCAGACCGACTCTGCAAGGCAGTTCACACATCCCCACTCCAGGAAGCCTTTCTGACTGCGGCACTTGGATGTGGCCCTCCCCTTCCTCTCTGTTCTCCTTGTGCCCCCGGTCCTGTCCCACGGCCACAATAACCATCTGCACGCCAGCCTTCTCTCCGGAAAAGCTGTCAGGTCCCTGCTTAGTCTTTCTGGTCTTCTATTTGGCTCCTGGTTGCAGGCCAGATTCACATTGAAAGCTTAATGAGTGCCGATCCCGTGAGTGAATGAAGAGTAAATACCAGGAACACACTGGGTGGTATGTTTCTTTTTCCCTCTTAGTTGTTTTCTCTCCCCGTGCCCCAACCAGGCCCCTCTCAGCTTTGAATCTAATCACTTGTCCAGACACGTGGCTTGCTCCGCCCTCCCCCCCCCCCCCGTCCCCTCCCAGCACGCTGTCTTGCAGGTGGGAGACGAAGGAACTTAGCCTGACCCTCAATGACCTCTCTCTTCCTCAAACACAGGCGCAGAGGAGGAGCTGGAGGAGCTGTGTGAACAGGCTGTGTGAGACGAGCAAGCCTAGCTCCACCCAAGAGTGTGCTCTGCATGACTCGGGGGGCCCTACCTGGCTGGATCCTGTTCCTGAGAGAAGAACGGACCTCAGCAAACACCCCTCTTGGCCATAGTTCCTGGAGCCACTGGAAGAAGAATGGCAATGGTGGATGGCAGGAGGCGCTGTTTCCTGCTCCCAGCTCCACACCTTGTTTGCAGAACACATCTCCAGTGCAGCAAGTCTGTGTCCCGCCAGGCAACCAGCTGCTGCCTGTGTGCACGTGGGGGCTGGATCCCTTGAAGGCCCCTTTTCAGAGGGCCAGAGCTAGTTATGGGTAGCCAGGCATTCCGTTACAAAGGTGCTGCTCCATTCCCCAGCCCTCCCGACTCTCCCTTGCCCCAGGCCTCACGTTCACAGCGGCAGGCGGGTTCAGCTGAGTGCTTGACCCCGTCCCATCTCCTCCCTGGGGTGAGCAGCATTGGTGCAGCAGCATTGGTGCTGCCCAGTGAAGCTGCAGAATCAGCTCCATCACTCTCCTCCTCTGCAAAAGGACCCGGAGTAGCGAGGGGCTCTGCAGCTTCTCCAGGCACTGCCTTCCTTCCAGGCGTCTTGTCCTTCGGTTGTCAGACGCACAGTGTGAAGTCAGAGAGGAGGCTCTGGGAAGCCAGGCTGTAGAGTTCTGTCCCTGGAGTGGGCCAAGCACGTTGAAGAACCCACGATGGAACCTGCCGTCTCCAGACGCCTTTGTCAGTCCAGCAGCCCCAGTTCCTCTGGGGACTGGGGTGGGGGGGGGCATCGTGGGGAGGGAGTAACTCCTCCTGAAAGGGCTCCTGTCTGCACGTCTCACGTCTCTCAGCAGATGGACAGGAGGGAATTTCTCCCAGACTTCCTCCGAGAAGAGGGAGGATGGACTGAAGGTAGAGGCGGGAGGATTACAGCTGAGCAGGGACAGCAAAGAATTCTCTGGGACAAGTTTTGTCTTGGAGCAAGGATGAGGATCAGGGGAGAACAAAGGAAAAGCAAAGTGTAACTCTTGGGTTTGGAGGGCCCAGAGGCCTGCCTCCCCAGTAGAAGCCATACACGAGCCAGGGACCCACAGAAAGGGTGCACACGAGTGGGCATGGAGCAAGCAAGTCTGGCCTGGGCAGCCCGTGCCGAGTGGGCAAGGGCCAAGGGGCCTCCTTAGGGCGACATTCAGCCCCAGGGCATCCTGTTGCGGGCCCCTCAGGCATTATCCCATTTGGAATGTGAATGTGGGGGGCAAAGTGGGCACAGGACCCCTTTCTTCCCTCACAGTGAGTGGGAAGACAGCAGCTAAGCACCCACATGGGTATTTATATCTGAACCAGACAGAAAGATGCTTGAATCAGGCAACTATGTTGAGAAATGTATTTATTTGCTAATATATTTATCCATAAATGCAATCTGGTCTTGTGGTTTTGTTTTGTCGTTACTGTCACGCAGGGTAACTGCTTCATTTCTGTCTACACCGTAAAAAATTCCATCAGAGGCTACCCTCATTTAGGAGAGTTTAGGGTAGAATGGGGGGCATGGCAACAAGAACTGGTTTGTAAAGCCCCTAAAAGCATAGCATAAAGGTGAGAGAAAGCAGAAAGCATGCCTGGATTGTCATCTTGGCTCAGTTAATTTGTATTCCAGTGACGTTGTGACCTTTAGCAAATAACGTTCTGCCTCACTTCCACGGGCCTGCTACACAGAGTTGTTGCTGGGCTGACATGAAGGAGCAAGTGAAACATGTCCCCAAGTGGAAAGTTACTATTATTGAGAGAGAATAAATCTAAACTCCAGTCTCAGAGTCCATCTGAGCACAGCGTGGGAGCAGCAACCAAAACTGGGCCTGCCTTGTCCATTAGGAGGCCAAGCTAGGCCAGGACAGCAGCACCTGAAGCCATTTATCTGCCCAAGGGCCAGTCCCGATACACACAGCCCGACAGCGGTTCCCAGGGCCAGGACCACCCTCGCCTCTTCCTCCCGCTCCATCTCCTCTTCTGCTCCGAGAAAGCTTTGGTAGGGGTGGTGGCCGTCTGGAGCCCAGTGTCGAACCTGCGTGCAAAGCATTTGTTTTCCTATAGTTTAGTGGAATGAGAAGAGAAAGGCGCCAGGTCTCCCTACACGTGTTCCTTACTAGCTGCACAACGTATAAACGACCAGCTGGAATGATCAAGCGTACCCCTGGTCTTTAAGAAGAAAAGTGCGTTTTTCGCGCGTGGGCCCGCAGGCCAGCGTTCCTGGGGACGCGAGAGGAACCCCTGGGGCGCCGTGACAGTTGGGGGCCGGGGGCATCTTGCACTTGTTTTCGGTCTCTGCAGAGACAACCCAGAGGGAGACATTGGGCTCGCTGCCCAAGCGCTCCTTACAGCGCAGGGCAAAAACGGACCTCGGCTATCCCCGCGGGACGCTTGGTGCCGGCGGCCCAGTTCAAACGGCCCGCATCACGGCATTCAAGCTCGGGCCCGGTTTGGCGCGCGCAGGCGCCAGCCGCGCCGCCCCGCCCCCAACGGGGACGCGCCGATCGGCCCAACCGCCGCGTCCGTCTCGCCCTCGCGCCGGCCCAGGTGACTGCAGGCAGCCCCGCCTCCTCAGCCCCGCGGGAGAAACCATCTTCTCAGGCGGGGGGAGGGGCGGGGCCGGCGCCCTCCCACACAGGAACAGGAAGTGCGAGGCGCCGGAAGTCGCGGGCATTCTGGGTAGTCAACTGTTTACTTCCGGCGGCCGCGGAGGCTGTGGCTGCATCCCCGGCTAACGTTGTGCTTCTCGTCGGAGAGGATGGCTCTGGAGACCGTACCGAAGGACCTGCGGCATCTACGGGCTTGTTTGCTGTGTTCGCTGGTCAAGGTGTCCGTCGGGGGCCTAGCTGTAGGGGTGATGGAAGAACCACCGTGAGGGAAAGAAGTTGGAACGAGGCTGGGGGCACAGTGAAGAGAAACTTAAGAGCCAGGGTTCTGAGACGTGGAGAGTGGTGTGGGAAGTCGAAGAAGCCATTGTTCTGGTCGTTGGTTCTCGGTCTTGGCACAGGCCTGGCGCTTTAGCTGACGTTTGGTCAGTCGAGGGTGGGAATGCCTGACCCTGAGGACTCTAAAGAAGGGAAGAGACAGAACCGAACTGGGGGAGAGGAGAGGAGGGAGTCTGAAGGTAGAGCTTGGTTGTGAAGCTTTGGGACCTGCTGAGACAGCCAACATGGGAACCAAGAGACCAGGGCGAAGTATTGAGAAAGCTACCCCCGCCATTCATCATTCATCTCATCACTCCTTTTCTTCTTTTTCCCCGTCTCAGACCATAGACCAGTTTGAGTATGACGGCTGTGACAATTGTGATGCATACCTACAGATGAAGGGTAACCGAGAGATGGTATATGACTGCACCAGCTCTTCCTTTGATGGGTAAGCCCCCTCGGATGTTCACCCCACCCAAGGACGTAGATGTGGAGCAGGCTTTCAGAACCTTAATCCTGGTTGGCTCAGAAGTTGCCTTTTTCTTTCTTTCTTTTTTTTTTTTTTTAAGATTTATTTATTTGAGGCCGGCGCCGCGGCTCACTTGGCTAATCCTCCGCCTGCGGCGCCGGCACACCGGATTCTAGTCCTGGTCGGGGCGCCGGATTCTGTCCCGGTTGCCCCTCTTCCAGGCCAGCTCTCTGCTGTGGCCAGGGAGTGCAGTGGAGGATGGCCCAGGTGCTTGGGCCCTGCACCCCATGGGAGACCAGGAGAAGCACCTGGCTCCTGGCTTCGGATCAGTGCAGCGCACCAGCTGCAACACGCCGGCCGTAGCGGCCACTTGGGGGGTGAACCAATGGAAAAAGGAAGATCTTTCTCTGTCTCTCTCTCTCCCACTGTCTAACTCTGCCTGTCAAAAAAAAAAAAAAAAAAAAAAAAAATTAAAAAACAGAGTGGCAGAAAAGAGAAGTCTTTCATCACCTGATTCACTCCCCAAATGGCTGCAATTGCCAGAGCTGGGCCAATCCAAACCCAGGAGCTAGGAGCTTCTTCCGGGTCTCCCATGGGGGTGCAGAGGCCCCAGCACTTGGGCCATCTTCTACTGCTTTCTTAGGCCATAGCAGAGAGCTGGATCAGAAGTGGAGCAGTCAGGACTTGAACTGGCGCCCACATGGATGCCGGCACCAGCCCTTCAGCAGTTACTTTGAGACATTCTAGTTCTGTGTATCCTGTGCAGTGGCCATTAGCCATATGTAACTATTGAGCACTTGACATTTAGCTAGTTCAAATTAGAATCTGAGTTTTCAAAAACTTTATTTATTTGAAAGGCAGGACAAGAAAAGAGAGGAACATACAGCATAGAGCACTTCTGTCTTACTGGTTCACTCCCTAAAGACCTGCAACAGTCAGGTTTCAGACTGAAGCCAAGAGTCAAGAACTCTGTCCTGGTCTCCCATGGTGGCAGGGACCCAAGTACTTGGGCCATGCTCTGCTGCCTTCCCAGGTGCATTAGCAAGGAGCTGGATCAGAAGTGGAGCAAGCAGGACTCGAACTGGTACTGGGATATAGGATGCTGACATCTGATGTCATAAGTAGCAGCTTAACCCACTGTGTGTTCCACAACCCTGGAACCAATTAAATGCTTTAACTGTGAAATATATGCCAATTTTAAAGATTTAGCATGAGAGAAAAAGCTTAAGGTATCTTTCACATTTTAAATTAATTATGTGTTGAAATGATAATTTTTTAAATTTATTGGGTTAAATGAAATGCTGAAAAATTCATCTTTAAAATTTTTTATTATATTTGAAAGACAGAGAGAGACAGTTCTCCCATCCACTGATTCACTTCCCAGATGCTTGCAACAGCCAGGGCTGGGCCAAGCCAAAGCCAAGAGCCAGGAACTCAATCCCGGTCTCCCAAGTAGGTGGCTGGGATCCAAGTATTGAGCCATCATCTGTTGCCTCCCAGAGTACAATTAACAAGGAAGGTGGCATTGGAAGTGGAGTCAGGACTTGAACCCAGGCACTTGGATATGGATGCACTGTCTTAACTGCCCACCTTGAGTCTGATGTTTTTGTTTTTAACTCTTAAAGGTAACTACTAGAAAACTTAAAGTAAAGTGTACTATTTCTGTTTCCATGGAACACTGCTTCACTAGACTGCCAGCTTGGTGATGGTGGGTACTATGTTTATCTTCAGCACCACTCCTGGCATAGGGCCAGGAAGGTGTTAGCTGCTGAGTAAATGTTAGGTACATGAAGACCCTTTTTGAAAGTGAATGAAAGGGAATATACAAAAATTGCAGATTATGGCCCAGAGCTGATGCTTTTAGGGATCTCTGGAAGGCCCTATAAGAAAAAACGTTCCTTTGTCAAAATTGTCCAGTAGGAGAAGCGAGAAACAAGAAATTAAGTGAACAGGAGCCAGAGGATGGTGTTGTGAACAAATGAATGAGGAGGCTCCCATCTGTGCGTAAAGTGCCCTGTTAACTGCAATGAGAGAGGCTAGAGTTACACTCTCAGGTACTTGCTAGGAAGAGTGATGGGGAGGTGAAGTGTTTGCTTTTTTTTTTTTTTTTTGACAGGCAGAGTGGACAGTGAGAGAGAGAGAGAGACAGAGAGAGAAAGATCTTCCTTTGCCATTGGTTCACCCTCCAATGGCTGCCGCGGCTGGCGCGCTGCAGCCGGCGTACCGCGCTGATCCGATGGCAGGAGCCAGGTACTTCTCCTGGTCTCCCATGGGGTGCAGGGCCCAAGCACTTGGGCCATCCTCCACTGCACTCCCTGGCCACAGCAGAGAGCTGGCCTAGAAGAGGGGCAACCGGGACAGAATCCGGCGCCCCGACCGGGACTAGAACCCGGTGTGCCGGCGCCGCAAGGCAGAGGATTAGCCTAGTGAGCCACGGTGCCGGCAGTTTTTGCTTTTGAGAGAGAGAGAGAGAGAGAGAAGTGTTTATATAACAAAAAGTTTATCACTTTAGTCATTTTTGAGTGTGTAGTTCAATGGCATTAGTGTATTTGTATTGTTGCACAATCATCACCATCCATCTCTAGTAGAAGTTTTTAATCTGCATCCATCAAACACTAACTCACCGTTGCTATCTCCCCCAGTGCCTGGCAACCACTGTTCTTTATATCTTTCACAGACTTAACTACTCTAGGGACTTTATGTATCTGGAATTATACAATATTTGCTTTTTTGTGATTGGTTTATTCCAGTTAACGTAATGTCTATAGAATTTATCAATGTTGTAGCATGTGTCAAAATTTTCTTACTTTTTTAAGCTGAATAATGTTTTGTTACATGCATTTATAGTCTATTTTGTTTATCTGTTCATCCATTGATGGTCACTTCAGTTGTTCCCACCCTTTGACTATTGTAAATAGCACTTCTGTGAATATGAGTGTACCAGCAGCCTGCTTTTAGCTCTTTTGGGTATAGATCCAGAAGTGGAATTACTAGATCATATG